CAGGCGAGTATGATCTTACTCAGCAAAACATTTGGTCAGTCTTCCCTTGCTTCAGGCTACATAATCTGAACAACACAGAAAAGCAAATCAATGAAAGCCCTTTCCTTATATCTGAACCGCCAAGAAATTCTCCCAACCCTGGGCATGTGGCTTTCTGCAAGTTTAATGTAGTAGGTTGAGTTTGGGCATGAAAGATAAGGCTCCTGATGTTTCCTAGGAAAAGGTGAACAAAATTCTGGTCGTATCCGTAGCATGAATTGGATGAAAGGGTATTACTGTAGCGCTGGCTCAGCTATCAGTAAATATTGTGGCATTACTGCCCAAAACTTGGTGAGCAACACGAGTCCCCCTGGGCAAGATGAGGGCTGCACAAGGCTGACCCTCAGAGACTGACCCAGAGCTCCTGGGGCAGGAAGGCGGAACTCGAAATGGGACCGAGAAATAAGCATGCCTCTTTCCCATCCTTGACACCTGGGAGCTGGTTGTTCAGAGGCCAAAAGGAAGTCAAAATCAAAAAGAATCCTTCCTCTGTGCAGCATTCTTTGAAAGTGTAGCTGAAAGGAAAGTCACCTAACCCTGGGGTACTTACGGGGTTTTGTGCATGAAACAAGTTGTGGTATATCCAAGGGAAGGTGTCAGGGGACAGTTTTGAGCCTATAAAAGGATAGTAGGCTGATGTTTGTGAGCTGATTATTTGGAATTTTGTATTTTCATGTGGAAATGCAGTTATAAACGGTGGCTCAGCTCACCATTACCTCAAAGTCTCTAGTGTGCAGTCCTCGGCTGTGATACTCTTGGACATAACCAGTGTTTCCGTGGGGAAATGCAGTGGTCCAGGCTGGGACTTCTGGAATCTAGTCGTCTCCCTAGCAGGCCCCTCTCCATGGTCTGTTGAGCACTGGCTGTAGCGACCTTCCAGCTCTTAAGCCTGTGGTGAGGGCTCCTTTGTCCAGCAAGGGACCTGGGAGCCTGTGTGGTGGAAAGACAGATACTGGGATAAGGCAGACCCCACGGCTGCCTCTCAGCCCCACCAGCTCCCTGGTCATCCCCTTTCTTTCTATTCAGAAATCCTTGCAACTGGCCCACCAAATGGCTGTCCTGCTGCGGCTGCCCTCATCTTTGCTTCCACCCGGAAAATTGTTCCTTCTTTGGCTCTTAGAGAAAACAGACTGATGTGTGGCTCGTACAGCCCATGGTGCGTCAGAGGTGCTCAGTAAACACTCCCTGTATAATTTATTAATCTCTTACATTGTGCTTCAAATCAACCTATGAGACGAAAACAATGTTTCATTGTTTTGATATAGCACCAATGTGGAAGCCAATGAGTTAAATCTAACCAGGCAGAGGGAATGATTGAACTGGAGATGCAGAGCCTCAAGCCGATGCTGTCGCAGCCCGTGTTGTCCCTGGTGGACATTGCCTATAAAGGGAGCTGGACCTTGGTCTTGGCCCCTGCAGGCTTTATAATCACATCCTCACCTCTCCTTGTGAGACAGGTGCCCGACCCTTCCCTACCACTCAGTCTCAGGGCTGCGGGATCCTGGGATTTTGACGACTAGAAGGACTGAAGTAAGGTTTGTCCACATTTCACATGAACATCCAAGCTCATTGTCTGGAGGGCTGATTGGTTTTTCCCAGCTATCCTGACATTTCATTCCGTTAGCTTACGGGATGGGAGGGGAGGATGCAGTGCTCTGGGGTGGAGTGTCTTGGACAAAGCCTTTATGAGGAAGTAGGAGGAAGATGAAAATTAAAAAGAACAAGTGTAGAGCAGGGAGGGTTGCCACAGGATTGTTTACTTTTCTTACCCTGTCAACTGTTCCACAACCTACTGGGTCCTGGACCAGCCCTGGGACACATGAGAGGCAGGGCCTGGAGCGAGGTCCACGCAGGTCCGGCCAAGTGGTAGTGTGGAGAGCATCCCCAACTTAGGAAGGCAAGACTTGGATTCAGGCCCTAGCTTCACTATGTCCCCAGTCACTGCTCCTCTCTGGGCCTCTCCAGAAGGCTGGGAGGAAGGGATGATGTGGCTGCCCTTCCGGGTCTGGCATTCTGAATGGGGTCTGTGTGTGACTCCTCTTCTTGGAGCTGCTTCTAATAGCTACCATTTGTTAGATTTGCCTAGAGCCTTTGTTGGCCTTTAAAGAGGACAAACTCGTAGTTCAGAACAGGAAAGGAAGATCTGGGTTTTAGTTAAGCTGTGCCACATTTACCATCTTTGAGCCTCAGATCCCTTATTTGAGAATAGAGATGCTGGTGCTTTTCTGGGTAGCCACCCTGGGCCAGTGTAAGAATCCACTGAAATCATAGATGTGAGAGTGTTTTGAAACCGTAAAGCACTGTCCGTGCTTATTTCATGCATCACCCAGAACATGAAGAAACCTGCCTTACTGTCTGGTGATATTCTGCTGCTTTTCAAAACTCAGTGACACATATCACCTGCCCCAGATGTCGAGGTGAGCGTGTGCTACAGGACTGCTGATGGCGGTCACATTGCAAAAGGAACTGCTGCTTGAGGGGAAAAGCTTCAGTTGGCTGCAGTGGAGCCAGGGGAGCTTGCAGATTGTTGAAGGTGGGCGGAGTAGTCCAGGATGAGTGTGTCAACTTGCCGGTAGAGAGCCTCCAACCAGACCCAGATCCTGGGGTCGCTCAGAAGTGACAGCTGGAGCTCAGAGGACACAGAAATGGTTTGAGAGGTGATAAATATGGTGCCCATTACAAAAAGCTCTTACCCTGGCATGAAAAAAATAACATAAAAAAACTTTTATCTGCCATAAGCTTGACAACATCTTTGCCCTTAGAACTAGTGAACCAAATCATGCATTTCTCACATCTCCAAAAAAGGCAAAGAAATTGCTCTCAAAATCAGTACCTCTGTGCTTTCCTTGCTTGCTCGTTTCAGATTCAAGTCTGGGTGGAACTCCCCTTGTTTGACTGGTTTTTCCCCTCACTTTCTTCCTTTTAAAACAATATTGATTGGTGTTTTTTCCTAATTATAAAAGTAGTATACATTATGGGAATTTTGGTGTGTGCAGAAAAGTCTAAGGAAGAAAGTGTCAGCTCACCCAGCTCCTTCCAGAGAGGCTGCTGGCCGTGGCACGTGCTGTCTTCGGCCTGTGTGAGGAGAATGCCTTTTCTTTTTTAACACTTGCTTTACCTGATGCCCCTTTTCTAGTTTCATTTCCTAATTTCTGTTCTGAATATTCTGTTATCTCATCCTGTCTTCTGTGTTGGAAAGAGTGTGTAAGGATGTGGTCTACATAATGGAGTTAAAACCTGTTCTGTGATGTCCAGAAAGTAGAAACACGTTTTTAAATATACAGGCAGGTACATCCTTACATATTTTGGGTGTGTATTGGTTGTGTATCATGTCACTGTCCCTTGCTAATGTATATGGGCACAGATCCACTCTGCATCATGGCCTGTTTGCGTGTAACATCAGTCCCAGGAAGCGGCAGAGACTGTTCATTGACACTATTTCATGGGATCTGTCCTGGTATTCTGAGCACCAACATACACTCTACACTTTGAATGTAGGTCAGCTATAAAGTAGAGTGTTTTTTAGGAAGGGAACCCTTCTCCCCCACCCCTGCGCATCAGCTGGTCATGGTCATGTCTGTTTGGAACAGTGGGTATAATCAGCATTTCACACACACGCATACACACAGTCTCTGGCTTTCGTTGTGGAGTTTTACCAAATGTCAGCTTTGCTGTGCACAGAGCACAATGGAGAACACTGTGAAGGCTTAAAAGAAAGAGAAACGTGGTGCCTGCATTTGTTCAGTTGCAGAGCAGAAGGGCCTCTCCACCAGCAGCTTGTCTATTTGGCGTTTCTGGTGACTAAGACAAGCCTGTTTCTTAAACTCTGTTCTAATCTGTGAAACCACCTGCTTACCCCACCCTGCATTCCCCGAGGCCCTTCTTCCCAGGCCCGTGTCTCCTGTGTGTGCCCCTGTGGTTCTGTGATGGTCCCTTGCTGGGCTCCTCTCCCTCTTCCTTGATGCACCATCAGGTCTCCCTGAGTCTTAGAGATGTCTCTCTCGCACTGTCTTCTCTCAGGTGCCCCGTCCACGACTCTTAGAGCATTGTTACTGTGAGTTTTTGGCATGTCCCGTCAGCTCACGCCTTTTCGTCTTACAGTCCAAAGTGTGACAGCCCTGCCCCAGCTGTGGCATTGGATCCCTCCACAGAGGTGGGAGGGGCAGAAGAAAAGGAGGGGGTTGGCTCTCCCTGGCACAGGGGGGTAGTGGTACGGAATGGTGGGAGTCGCCTCTGTGTGGATACGTTTCCCCCAACATGTCTTGTCTCAGGATTCAAAGCATTGCAGATGTCAGAGCCTTGGAGCCCATCACAAGATTAGGTGCTGCCTGCGTAGACTCAGCTTCTTTCTGTGGGCGTGGTACTCTGGTGGTCACAGACCCCTTTTCACCCCTTAGACTATCCAAGGTTAGTTTTACCTGGAGCACATGTGTCTATGGTGACATCTTAGAGTATTTTACACAGGTTTGGTTGGTGACCCTAGATTGTCACCTGTAAACCTGGCAGCAGTATTGGCCTCATATTTAATATGGTCAGTTCCACACAAGTGGACAGACCTGTCCAGGGCTTTGGGCATTTTTGAGGAGGGAGCCCAAAGGCCACCGTGAGGTAATGCCCAGAGGAAGGAGGAGCAGCCCCACCTCAGCCGCCCGCCCACCCGCCGCTAAGAGGGAGCGCCTCTTCTCAGCCCCGCCGGCGCCGGGGCTGCTCCCCGCAGCTTCCATGTGGGAAAGGCCTTAACACATTCGTAGACTTTGTTTCCCTTGTTTCTGCTTTTCCACTTCTTGTATTTTCTCTTTTCCTCCTGTTGTTCCTTTCTCACTTTTTATGCTTTTTGTCCTTTGCTTGTTTTTTGTTTCGCCTTCTCCCTGTCCCTCTCCACTTCCACACTCCTCCTCCTCCTCCTTTTGCTCTTTCTCTGTCTCCTCCTCTTCCTCTTCCTGGTTTGGTCCTTTGTGAAGTTGAGCCCAGTGGCGGAACTCCGCGGCGTAGACCTCTCTCCTTCTGCCCTTGCTGTGTCCAGGAAGGTAACGTAACCCTGAGCCCTCCCTACTGCCTCTCGGGTCATAGCGACACCAGTCAAACAGGGACCCAAACCCAGCTATTTCTCGTTCTTTCTCTGACACTTGATAGCCCTGTTAAAAAATTCGACGAGTATGTGGCAGTTTCTTACAAGGTACAGTATCCCTTTGACTGTCTCAGGGGAGGACTGGGGTGGGGGTGAAGCCAGAGAGCTTTCAGGCTGCGGCAGAGCGAGCGCCCCACGATGTTGTGGCACCATTCGTGGTTGGGCCTTTCAGCCTCCAGTCCAGCAGATAGAGGGGCCAGGGACACAGGTTAGGAGCCCCCTGCCTGTGCAGCAGCAATTTGTATTGGCGGAGTCGAGGAATACTGTCCTTACAAAGACTGGTCTACACAAATGCCCTGAGCTCTTTTCCAAAACAACCACTAAGAGCAAACTTCTCTACCCTGTGTCTTGCCGAATTTGTGTGTTTTTCAAGTTTGTCTGATTTGAAGTCTGTTGTGGTGATCAGATTGTCATTGAGAAGGCATGTGGGAGGGGAGGGGGTGTGGCCCTGACTAACCCTTGCTAACCTCTTACTCTGCTCTCCATGGTGCTCATGTGACTGTCACACCCCACCGCGTACTTTGCTCATTGGCTGCGAACAGTCTCTCCCATAGCTCATGAGTGGTGTTTGGATGTCTCCCTGTGGGTTGTTTTGTTCTTGCACATAGGGAGGTGGGAAGGAGGGAGGGACTCCCAGTGCATTCACAGCTTGCCGCACTGGACAGCTTGCATGCCTCCGGGCTCCATCCTCCATGGCCATGTGGGCACACTGTGCAGAGACGCTCAGAAAGGAATGCATGGAACTGAGCTGTAGGCTGCTTTAAAAGCCAAAGAACCGAGTCTACTCGTTTGGGTGAGGAGAGCTTTGGTCCCCGGACACTCCGGCGTGCAATTCGCAGTAGCAGGCTCTAGCGGTCAGGAGGGAGCTTCCACCCTTCAGAGGAGGACTCAGGGATAGGAGCACAGCCCCAGAGCACAGCTGCACGTGCATTGGGACACGGCACACACACTAATTCCCTGCTTGTGTGAAAACGATTCATTTCTGCCTCTCCAGAGTGTGGCCCCGTTGAAAGACTAACTGGCTTGGGCCTTGTGTGTGTCAAGCAAACAACGATACAGAGAGAGAGTTGTCTTTGAGCAGAGCGCAGGGAAGTCAGGTGGGAGATGCAGGAGAGCAGTGAGGAAGGGGCTTGATCCAGGAGAGTTGCTCCCCGAGGGTGTTTGCACATGTTTCTGGGTTTGGTCTTTACCGGGATGATGCATCCCATCAAGCACCTCGTGAGAAGGAAGGTGTTCTGAACGATCTCCCAGCCTAGCGCCTCCTTACCTGGGGCCCAGGGACGGCCTTCAGGAAGTCCATGAACAACCTGAAGTTCTATATTAAATTGTTGGATGTGTGCAGATGCATTTTTCTAGGAGGGGAGTCTCTGGCTTTCCTGAGAGTCTCAAAATGGTTTGTAATCCAAAAATATTGAAGAACCACTGACATAGTCTGTCTTTTGCCTTTAGGCAGGACCATACCGTTGCCATGAGCTTCTTTGTGCTCCAAGGAAAAGGAGTTTACTCCCTCCTTGGATAGTTGGTTCCTTGGGAAGTTCTTCCTTCCATCCTCCTGCAGTTAAGCCCAGCAGGGTCAGGCGCCCTGGAGATTGAGATACCGGTCTCGTGTTGGTCCAGGGCAGCCTGAGCTGGCAGGAGGCACGAGCCCCAGAAACTGCTGCTGGCCTCAGATTGGAGCCGGCAGTGGCAGCCTTAGTTAGTCTCTAGGGTCTGCTGGTGTTTCTCTGCCCTTGGTGAGAAACCTGATAGTCATCCTGGGATGTACTGCATGTGCCATACAGAATTCATTGGGAGAGTATCTGTGAGAAAGCCTGATAGGCCACAAGTTGAGAAAAGGGATCTTATCCCCCTGGTTGGGATATAAAGAAATGGTGAGGCATCAGTACCAGTGGCCTGGAGTGGGCACCAGCCCAGGAAAGAGCTGAGATGACGAGTGTAACTGAAAAGGAAGGCTAAGTGTAGTGGATAAATTCACATTTGCCTCACTCATTAGACTAATTTCCTCGAGGCAGACCTAGTACATAGCAAGTACTAAATAAATATTTAAATGGATGAAAAAAAGAAAAAAGGAAGGCAAAGCACTTGAAATATACCAAAAGAAAACCGTTGAGCAGCAGAGGCCCAAACAAGCCGTGACCAGGTTCCTGAGGGAGAGGGCCGGGCCTGAGAGGTGGATGGGAAGCGCAGACTGGCTGGGCCCTGGTAGGCGTGGTGCCCTGGCTGTAGGCTCACTTGGGGCCTGGCCTGGGAGTGTTCCGGCAGCATCCTGCTCGGCTCTCTTTGCACATTTGCCCCAGTGTGATGACTCCCGCCGGCGGGGTAGACACAGACAGTCCCTACACCTGACCGCCCTCTCTCTTGGCAGGAATGGGCAAGAAGGATGACCCCAAGCTGATGCAGGAGTGGTTCAAGCTGGTGCAAGAGAAAAATGCCATGGTGCGCTACGAGTCGGAGCTGATGATTTTGTGAGTGGCCTTAGGTTGGGGACCCAGCTAAGGGGGGGACATTAGCTCAGTGCCTGTCAGAGCAGGAGCACAGCTTCTTCCTAATTTAGAAGATGAGGAGATCTGGTCCCCAAGTCACTGTTGCTTATCTCCCCCCTCCTCCCCTGCAATACCAGTGCCCGGGAGCTGGAACTGGAAGACCGGCAGAGCCGCCTGCAGCAGGAGCTCCGGGAGCGGATGGCAGTGGAAGGTGAGAGGGGCATGGAGGTGAGGTGCACGGGAAGGCTGGGGTGGGCCAGTTGCTCCTGGCCCTATAGACCTAATGCCTTTGGGTATGCCCAGATCACCTGAAGACCGAGGAGGAGTTGTCAGAGGAGAAGAAGATCCTGAATGAGATGCTGGATGTGGTGGAGCAGAGAGATGCCCTCGTGGCCCTGCTAGAGGAGCAGCGGCTCCGGGAAAAAGAGGAGGACAAGGACCTGGAGGCCGTCATGCTGTCAAAGGGCTTCAGCCTGAACTGGTCCTGAGTTCCTGCCCACACTCTGGCCGGCTGGTCTGCGGCGTCTGCCTGACCTGGGCTGGGTTCTCCTAAAGCACCCAGATCCAAGAGTTGAGAAGGCCTGGCACCTCCAGGAGTTTGCACTCAAATGTCCGTGTGCCTCTTGAAAATCAAGTCAAGCGTCTGTGCTGTTGGGGACCCCAGGTGAGGATGATTACCTGAGGGGGCTCAGCCTCCTTGGAAGAGGCCCACCCTGACTTCCTGCTCCAGAGAGACAGAACCTGGAGCGTTTGATGTATGATGTGGGAAAAGGAAACACCTGCACGCTCCCTGAGGACGCGCGGAGGCTGGTGCCCCTTCTTCCACAGGCACGTTTGATAAGAGAAGGAGGCGGCTCCCTCTGTCAGAACCACAGCCAAGAGTGCATCTCCATGAAGCGGATGGGCAGCTGTCTTCCTCATGCTCCCTGAAGCACCACCAAAGATACGAAGACACCCCAGGAAAGCAAGATGTGAACCAAGACTGGGAGGAGGAATAGCCAGTCAGGGCAATACCCACCCCAGCATCACAGGGGAAGCCGAGGGTGGGCCGGCTCCAAAATTAATTATGCAAGTAAGGAGGACCCCGGAGGGGTCTGCTCCCAGCCCCCAAACCACACACTGGACCCCAAGTGGCCAAATGCCCAGGCCTCTCGGGCTGTGGCCTGAGGCCTGTGGATTGCTGCCTTTTGCTTTAGCTCACAACCATTTGACACTGGAAAATGCTGACTTGGGGAAAAGGAGTGAGGCCTGCATTTCAAGCCCCCAGTTGACAGGCATTGCCACTGTTCTGCGCTTCACCTTGGGGCAGGAGATGATCTTTTCCTTGCGTTTTTCCTGTGTTTGCACTTGAAATGAAGCTGACAACCCGGCAAGATGCTCAGCTGCTTCAGACTCTTTTTGTCAATTAACTTATTTTTTTAATACTTGAAAAGCAACTTCATTTTTATATCTTTACTAGAGACACTGATCACTTGGCACCTGGTGCAGGAATGACGGAGGTGTCCCTGCTGCGCCCCACACAGTCCCACCCCACACTGGCTGAGCTTGTCACATTCGTCTGTTTATTAGCCTTCTTCACAGAGTCACTGGCTGGTGGGCACCAGAGAGCAGCTGCAGCCCTCCTGCGGGTCCTTGCTCACAGCTCTTTGTCTCCTCCTGTACTCTGCATCCGACCCCTCTTCCTTCACCTGGCACCCTGCTTGCGCTCTGGCGCCGACCCTTATGTCTGCACCATCCACTTGTCAGGGATACATTTCAGCACTGTTTGAGGCCAGGCCAAAAGGCACAGATGCCGCTCGTCTCTCCCTGTTGGGATCTTGGCTCTGTATAACCCATTTTTCTCTCAGTTTTGGTGCCAGAGTGTAACCTCCCACAACACATTTACTAAAGAAAGTTTGGGGGTAAGCCCTCTTCCAGGCCAGCTGAGACCGTGTAGGTGGGACCTTGTAAACTGTCTGGCTGATGAGAATTCCCTCAGCCCAGCCTCAGCTCCAGCCGGAGAGAAGTGCATGTGTGGCAGCATGTATTGGGTTTAGGTTGGTCTCTCACAAACAGATAACAGCTCCAGCCTGAGCCTCCCCTGTACCCACGTCTGCATGGGAAGGTAAGGGATGATAAGCACCTGGTAACTGGCTCCTTGAGCCTAACTCTGCTTATTTCTCATGGTTCAGCCAGAGACTGGCTGTGTACAGCTCATAGAACCACTGTCGGAGAAAATCCGGTTGGGCAGTGCTTGTCCATCCACAGAATTAGCACACAGCCCAGGAAGGATTGCCAGCAGTGCCAGGCCAATCTGGAAAGGTTCGCCAGCCAGTGCCTGACGGAGAGGGGCCAGTGTAGAGAGAACAGCAGCCTGGCAGTTCTTCAGGGCGGCCTGAGGGCAGGACAGATCAGGCACCGTGCTGACCTTGGGGCTTCCATGGGGAACCACGCCGTGCCTCAGCTTGAACATTCATTCTCACCACAGAGGGTCAAAGAACCTGTCTTATTCTTCACTTTGTCCAAAAGCTGCCATCACTCTCCTGTGGAAATCCAGATGTGCTGCTAGCAACCGTCACAGCTCCAACTTTACTACATGTTTTCTGATGAGGCAGTCTCCATTTTTTATTCTTATAAAGGGGGAGAGGAGGGTGTTCTAGATTCCATCTTTAAACCCCAACCTTCCAATAAAATTGGACTTGGGACAGGACCTTCATCGCCCTTGTGGCCGTGTCCCTAAGCCTCTCCACCTCTCGAATGCCACCATGGCTGGCCAAGCCCCAGGAGAGCTGCCTCCATCCCTTATAGCTCCTGCTAACCCTGGAACAAGGAGGAGTGTGCAGGGGCTGGTAAGGGTGCGCCGTATGCTCTGAGTGGCCTCGGGTGGCAGGAGCGCCAGATGTTACTGTCTGCCCCTTGCTGCCAGCCAGCACTGGTCAGGCTTGAACACTCCTGCATCCTTCCGAAGCACACACTGCTGCTGCAGCTACTAGAAAGCAGCTGAAGATGTTGCAGAGAAGCTTCAAAAATCCACAAGCCTGCAAAATATTCCCCAGCTCTCCACTTCCAACAGTGTTACAGCTTCGGGTTCTAGCAGAGCACTTTTTTTTTAAAGCTCCCATTTTGTAACCACTAGTTTGCATTTTATTTTAATACCCGGGTGACATGCTGCATGAAATGTTTTCCAGCTCTGGAAATGCATGCAGCTCAAGGCAGATCTTCCTGAGAGTGAAACCCCCTTGAAGGCAGGGGAGCGAGAAATGTATCTGTCTTTTTCTGAAGCGCCAGAGTCTTAAGTGAGCCAGACACGCGGCCAGGACAGTGGGCTGCCAGGTTCTGCAACACTGGAGGAAGGCAGAGGCACCCCTGGCCTGAGTTTGAGGGTCACCAGCAACTCCGTGTGTGTTCTGACCCTGCTCCGAGGACATCTCTGGGCCTCTGCCCCCCAGAGCCATCCTCCAGCTGCTTTCAACCAGCAATGATAGACTGTTCTTTATCCTCTCAAAAGAGAAGAAATTTTTCAGTGGGGCAAAAAGTGGAGTGAGTTTAAAGAAAAAAATTTTAAAGGTGGTAACAACTGAGCTACAAAGGGAAATGGGCCATTTTATGCGCAATAAAAGTTTTTAAAAGAAATACAGATTGTATTTATTAAGTCATTTTACTGGACTTGGCAGCGAGCCAGGATGCATTTCTGCGTCCACAACCCGCCTGTTTCAGGTAGGTGGTGTCCGTGCGGGTCATGATGTGTCTAGCGAATGTGTGGGTGAGTACAAGGTTGTCTAAAGAATACAGCTTTTTAAATTTTTTTAAAGATTTTATTTATTTATTTTCCCCCCAAAGCCCCAGTAGATAGTTGCATGTCACAGCTGCATATCCCTCCAGCTGCTGTATGTGGGACACGGCCCCAGCATGGCCCGAGAAGCGGTGCGTCGGTGCGCGCCCGGGATCCAAACCCGGGCCGCCAGCAGCGGAGCGCGCGCACTTAACCGCTAAGCCACAGGGCCAGCCCCAGAATACAACTTTTTTTTAGTTTGTGCTTTTTTTAGGCCTCCATCTTATCCTGGCTCAGCCATCGACTGCTGTCACTTGAGGAGATGTCTGAAGCAACCTGGGGTGGTAAGAAACTGCTCTTCGGGCCGGCCCAGTGGCGTAGTGGTTAAGTGCGCATGCTCCACTTCGGCAACCGGGGTTCGCGGGTTTGGATCCTGGGCGCAGACCGACACACCACTCCTCAAGCCATGCTGTGGCGGTGTCCCACATAAAACAGAGGAGGACTGGCATAGATGTTAGCTCAGCGACAATCTTCCTCACCAAAAAAAAAAAAACTGCGCTTCAAAACCACGTCCCAGTACCCTCTTGAAGAGAAGGAGCATATTCTTTGACATAGGGATCTTCCCAGTCAGAGTGACCCTGTGGCCCTGGCGACCCTCCTCACAGTGCTGCCTCCAGGCCCGCGTGGCACTGCCCTTTGACACAGGTGCCCTGGGAGTCTGCGGCCTCCAGGCCTACCTTGCTCAGATGTGTCGATGTCCCTGAAGCACATTCAGTGCATGGGGTCCTGGAGAGAGCTGACGTCACCCTTCTTTAGACTGGAGTCTTCCCCAAGAGATTGAAGGGGGGCCGGCCCCCGTGGCTTAGCAGTTAAGTGCACACGCTCCGCTGCTGGCGGCCCGGGTTTGGATCCCTGGCGTGCACCGACGCACCGCTTCTCCGGCCATGCTGAGGCCACGTCCCACGTGCAGCAACTAGAAGGATGTGCAGCTATGACATACAACTGTCTACTGGGGCTTTGGGGGAAAAAAATAAAAAATAAATAAAATTAAAAAAAAAAAGATTGAAGGGAATAATCCTGACCAACTCTTCTCTCTTTGCTACAAGAAGCCTCTTCAGCTGCTTTTCCAAATGGAGGCACATTCCAGCTCTTCCCCTCCCTTGATGTGTTGACCCATTAGGAGTACAGCCGACTTCGTCATAACCCACAGAGCTAATCCCAAAGGCACGATGCTTCCCTCTGGAGCAGTAACACTGACAGCAGGGAGAGAAAAAATGGCAATAAATGGGTGGAGGTGAGCCTTGCCCGGGTCACTGCCATGGAAGCGGGTTCCCAGAGCCTTTCAGCTATATTGCCAGCTATTCCAGAAGGAGTTGACACAAACGTGGACATCTCAGGTAGAAAACAGAACCAGCTCAACTGGATATACTGTGGCTCAGATTCCTAAAGGGCAGGATGGATTATGGCGTGCCTGTCGGGAAAGACGGTGGAGTTTGCTGGTCACCTGTGCTGGTCCCAATCACCTTTTGTTCCTCAAAGGAACTCACTTCGATTAGAGCTGGAAACAAGAGGATTTGGCTGCAGTTCACAGCGACCCCAGGTGGTAGGAATGATGATTGTTGTTTTAGGCAGGCCACCAGAAAGGAGGGCTGCCCCCGCCCAGTGTGAGTGCCACCTCAGATTCATGGACCCCCTTCCTTCCAAAGAACCACCATGTCTCATGGCTCCAAAACCCCTCCTGAACCCTGAATCCTCATGGTCCTTTCTTAGGAACCAGAGTGAAAAATGGTAAAGGGAGAAATTGTGCCATTTTATTTCACTTTATGAGCGGGCCACACTGGCCCACTTAGGGAGACTCCCTCCTCCTTCATGATACCTGCTCAGAAGATCCTGCCCCGTCGATGCTGAGTGAGGAGGGCAAGAAACCGTCTTCTTGGGTGGGTTATGTCCCTGCAAACACCAGCTCAGCGGGCTAGGGCCACGCCTCGGCACACTCAGCCAAGGAGCCTGTTAGACCAGGTGCACAGGTCACGGAGGCCCTCCAGTGACACTCCCAGACAGCCTGTTGCTGCTGACCTTGACTAGGCAGCAGTTTGTGACAGCCCCACTCCTTGTGTCCCCTGCCCTGACGTCTTGCAGCTGGGCCTTAAATGGGGAAGTTGGAGTCTGGCTTCTGTAGGTCGGCCACATGTGCTGGCTGCCTCTGCCTGAGAAGCCACCTGTTACCGGGACAGACGTGGAAGGGGAGACAGCGTCCCGTGACGCGTGCACACGCGCACACACACACTCCTTCCTTTTCACACACAGCGTGGCCTTGTTGGACCAGAGTGGACATCTAGTTCTAAAGTAGGCTGGATTTCAGACTTTGGACCTGGGTGGGACCAGCTGTGGTGGTGGCTGGGCCCCAGGGCTGGGCAGCATCCAAGTTGAGGATCTTCCTGCAACAGCAAACGGCCTGGGGCCTGGAAGACGAAGGTTGTGTTGAATGGTCTCCGAAGTCAGCAGATGGAGCATCCTCAAGACCCGGAGGAAGGCCTTTGTAGTGTCCAGCGCGGGTGTGGAGCGGAGGTGGCTGGTCTGAGTCCACACGTGAGAGGGGTGGGGAGTGTGAGTTGGGCTGGATTACGGTTAGTGTTCAGACGTGAACCGTCCCTGCCTGCTCCCCGACTTCAGCTGCAGCCTTGAGCACGTCGCTTAACTGGTCAGGGCCTGCCTCCCTCAGTCTAACCTGGGCTGGTAACCACCCACAGGATCTGTGGGAGGCTGTGGGAGGACAGTGCAGGCAAGGGTTTGAGATTCTTGAACCAGGTCCTGTGTAGGTGCACAGGCATCTTTTGTGCTGGTAACTTAGGTTCGCCTTGAAGAAGGGCTAAGAAACCCGGGGAGGCCGGGGGGAGGCGCTCCCAGCACCTCTGGGGGCTGGCTCCCTGCTGCCCAGGGTCCTGTCAGATCTGTCCAGTGAGTGAGCTGAGCTGTGCTTGTATTTTTGTTTTGTTTCTTTTTTTGTGAGGAAGATCAGCCCTGAGCTAACATCCGTGCTAATCCTCCTCTTTTTGCTGAGGAAGAACGGCTCTGAGCTAACATCTATTGCCAATCCTCCTTTTTTTTTTTTTTCTCCAAAGCCCTAGTAGATAGTTGTATGTCATAGTTGCATATCCTTCTAGTTGCTGCATGTGGGACGCGGCCTCAGCATGGCTGGACAAGCGGTGCGTTGGTGCACGCCCGGGATCCGAACCCGGGCCGCCCGTAGTGGAGCGCACGCACTTAACCGCTAAGCCACAGGGCCGGCCCTGTGCTTCTATTTTTAATTATTTTAAATGCTGGGCTGAATCCCCTGTTTCCTCTCAGGAACTTAACTTACTAGACACAGGTGGCTATAGACAGGCAGTGTTCCCAGAACATTCAGACGCCGCTGCTGGGTGTTGCCCGAGGCTGGCAAGTGCTGGGAACAATGGCGTTGCTCTCAGCTCAGAGGGACAGCCCGTCTTCTTCCTCCTGCCTCATTTCTGCAGCCCAGAGCCACCAGCCATCTGCACCTTGAGGCAGCTCCACCTGACCTGCTCTCCCTGCAGTGGGTCCCAGTCCTCCAGAGTCATTGTCAAGGATCAGGGGATCCCCCCAGTGAATGTTAGGGTGTGTTGGGGGAGGGCGCTGAGCAAGAGGCAAGAGAGCAAGAGTTCACTGGGACACACCATCAGCAGCTGGCAAAGCAAGGGATGAGAAAAATGAGTGTTTCTTGGTAGAGAAACCCTATAAACACCCCAGGTTTGGCACTCCGGCCTTCAGGTTGTCTCCCCAAGAGTTTAAATGCCCGGTATTTTCTGTGGGAGAAAAGGAAAAACAAGAAGCACCTGACAGCCAACACCCCCTTTCCCCAGCTTCAGCTTATTTAACTTGTTAATGTTTTTAAAGAATTGAATACCGTTTTAAAAACGTAATCAGGGGGCCGGCCCCGTGGCTTGGCGGTTAGGTGTGCGCGCTCCGCTGCTGGCGGCCCGGGTTCGGATCCCGGGATTGCACCGACGCACCGCTTCTCCGGCCATGCTGAGGCCGCGTCCCACATACAGCAACTGGAGGGATGTGCAGCTATGACATACAACTATCTACTGGGGCTTTGGGGGAAAAATAAATAAATAAAATCTTTAAAAAAAAAAAAAATTGTAATCAGGGCCAGACTCTCGCTTGATACCAGCCTCATATTGGGACACAGTAGCATTCTGGCCCAGTAATTAATGTTTTAAGGCGTCATCAAATTGTTCTTAAAGTCACCTGTAAACCTGGGTGGGGAGGCAGGAGGGTCGGGTGTGGAGGGATGTGTGCCCGAGCGGACAGGGCTGGCCCGCATCAGCACCGTTTGGGAACACACCAACTCGCTCAGCTCAAGGGGACACCCAGGCCTTCCTGCGCAGCCTCATCTGCAGCCCAGAGAAGGAGGCAGACTCAGCAGAGCCTTAACTCCTGAGGGGCGGTGGCCCCACAGTGTCTCTTCTGAAAGAAACCACCCAGAAGCGCCTAGGCCCCTGTTCCTGAAGGTGCAGAGAGCAGCCCTGGGCCCTGCCAAGTTCTCCTGTGGGAAGATATTTGGAAGAAGCATCAAAAACAGACAAGTTTCCTGAAACACTGTGCCGGGGAGAGTGGGTAGAGTGGAACTACCCCGTTGTGCTGACTTTGCAGTGGTTTACCTATGAATGTAAAATAAGCTCCTGCCTCTGTCTGGGAAGAGTCCTGTCAACCCTGCGCATGGCTCCCGGAGTCGCTCCTGGGGAGGAAGGGAAACAAAAGAACCACTTTTCTTCAGTTTGCCGTGTAGGGTGCACATTTACCCTCCAGCTGTTTGCACTCCTCATGTGGCAACAACCCAAATAAAGTCAGTCCTTATTTTTTTTTCTGTGTGGAAGAGGATCATTTTTCCTCCGACACTTAGGGGGCTGGGATATGCCTATAAAACCGTGGACTGCAGGGGCACCTTCCGCCCGTGAGGCCCCTGCACCAGGACCACCTGCCCACCCAGGCCAGTGCCTGGGCCTTAGGTGGGCCCCCCACAGGCAAGTCCCTGTGGGGTGGGAGGGCTGTGTCACTGCTTGTGCGTCTCGGCTCCCTCTGCTCCTGCTCTCCAAGCTTGTCATTTCTGCCCCTCCCACCACCCTGTTTGTTTTGGTTGGAGGAGTCCACTACTGCTGTAAGAATTCTTCTCCTTCCCTTCGCATGACCATATATCTTGAAGGAAAGAGGCAGGCAGAAAAATGGTCTTTTTCCCCAGGCTGACAGACTCCTCCATCAGCATTTCCTCGTGCTTTTTCATCTCAGAGTGCTTATGGGACATTTTGCTGCAGCACAGAGATGGGGGGCTCTGCTATTGGAGGAGGTGGGATGGGAAGGGTGTTAAGGGCAATACAAAGATGCCTGGGGGGCCAGCCCCATGGCGTAGCGGTTAAGTGCGCGCACTCGGCTGCTGGTGGCCTGGGGTTCGGGTCCCGGGCGCGCACCGACGCACCACTTCTCTGGCCATGCTGTGGCAGCGTCCCACATAAAGTGGAGGAGGATTGGCCCGGATGTTAGCTCAGGGCTGATCTTCCTCACACACACAAAAAAAGATGCCTGGACTCAGAACCTTGCTACATGATCAGGCATGAGAAATAAGGAAACTGACAGTTTCAAGCCAGGATTGTGATAAGGCCATGGATGGGCTGACCTGGAACGAGGCCTTAGCAGGCAGAGGTTGTCAGAAGGCACTGAATGGAGTGCAGCCCACCGGAGCCCTGAGTGACAGTGAGAGGGCCTGTGGGCCTCTCCAGGGTGGGGGCGTCCTGGCAGCCTGGCCCCCTTGCTCACCAGCCAGGAGATCCCACCAGGTCAAGAGGTGGAGGTGGGGGCCGGCCCCGTGGCTTAGCGGTTAAATGCGCACACTCCGCTGCTGGCAGCCCGGGTTCGGATCCCCGGGCGCACACCGATGCACCACTTCTCCGGCCATGCTAAGGCCGCATCCCACATACAGCAACTAGAAGGATGTGCAGCTATGACATACAATTACCTACTGGGGCTTTGGGGAGAAAAAGGGGAAAAAAAAAGGAGGAGGATTGGCAATAGATATTAGCTCAGGGCCGGTCTTCCTCAGCAAAAAGAGGAGGATTAGCACAGATGTTAGCTCAGGGCTGATCTTCCTCACAAAGAAATAAAAAATAAAAAAAAAGAGGTGGAGATGGGTGAAGAACTTAGTGCTAAAGCAAGTGGAAGCGAGGGAACAATGTCTGCCCCCCCAAACCCCATACCTTCCTCCTCCCTGGAGAGGAATTCTCCCAGGACCCCAGGGAGAGCTAAGAGGCCGCTCTCTGTGGCCATGACAGCAGCAGGTGGGAAGAACTGCCGCCCTGTCTGGTGGGCTGGTGGCCAGGAAGGATGCTGAGGAGCCCCCTCCAGCTGAGGTGGGGACTGCGCCCTGGACCTGGCAATTGAGGAGCTCTTAGGCATAAACCAGAAGGTGCCCAAGAACTGACCTTGGCTTTGAGAGCTAAGCAGTGAGTTCAGCCAGGGAAGGGAGCCCGTGGCCGCTGTGTTGTCTAGAAGCTGGTTTTCAACGCACAGTGAACAGCGTATGTAGGCTCCCCCTTGAAATGGGAAAATAACATTCACTTCCTGCCCTCATAAAGTGGTTGTGGGGCTGAAAAGAGATCAGAGACGCTGTGTGCTCTGAATTATCTGGGTGTGGGTGCTGTGTCTGTCCCTCTGTGGCTGCTGAGTCACGCTGGCCACCAGAGCCACACATGGGTGACCCCCCTCCAGGCTGAACCTGGCCAAACTAACAGAGGGCTGGGGGGCCAGCCAACTAACAGAGGCCAAACTAACTTGTGGGCCCCTGCCCACAAGTGCCGAGTTCCAGGAGACGGGGGAGCTGCTCCCGCCCCAGCGCCTGTGACAGAAACCGGCAGCAGCTGCTCAAGGCTGGTTTCCGGGAAACTGATGACACTTGAAGCTCAGCACAGCGTTTGTAGGAAAGGAGGGAAGCCACAGGGTGGATTGGACGTGGGGGAAGTCCGACAGAGGAGTGAAGAGCCAGAAACTTCAGGTAAGGTGAGGCATGAGGCTCCTGGCCTTCATGATTCAGACCCAACGTGTTCTTCACCTGCCCCAGGTCCAGCTCTGGTGTGCAGGAGGCTACAGCAGCAAGAGTCGAGGGCCCTCCCCACAAGGGACGCAAGTTCCACAACAGCACCCACTCACTCCGCCACGTGGCATTCTTGATCTGTGAGCAGAATTCCAGACACTGTGATCTGCTCTCTCTTTCTAACATCCCTCCCTGTAACAAGTCACCATGTAAAACATAAAGCCAGTCACAGCCGGGCCCCCGCCCCCACCCCACGCCAGGACCCCCACTCCCTTCCTTTGGCTTGGTGTGATTCAGCCCACATCCAAAGAGCCGACTTCAGAAAGGGCAGGGGCAAGACCAAGGGGAGCATGGGGAGCCCGTGGCTGGCCAGTCCTGGTCAGATGCTGGAGGACCCAGCTCTTTGGCAGAGTCAGCCCACTCCACCGGAAATTCCCACCTGCCTCTTCCCCTGGAGTCCATTTTGGCCACAGCCATAGTCTGGGAGGGGACAATTCTGGTTTTCTAGCCACTCGGGCCTTGGGAGTCAGCCCTCTGAAAGTCACTCTGCTTTGATTCCCTGGGTGGGGGCCTCTGTGGCAACTGCTGCTTGTTGGCCCCAGATCGAAAGGTCCAGGGGAAAAGGTGCTTAAGGTAACACTGGAAACTCCAGACCGGGCAGTTAGCTTAGTGCGGGCACTGAGTCGCAGCTGGGTCAGAGCCAGCCTCACAGCTTCCTCAGGGCCGCACCTGCTGACACCCCAGGCCGGGCTGGGGGCTCCGGGTGCAGCTTCCAGCTCCAACAGCTCACCTGTGCAGTGCCATCGTGATCTTGGGTATGAACGGAAGTTTTGCCCCACAGGCCCTGGTCCTGGATTAAGCCATCTTCCCCTCTCCTCCAGCAGGATTTGTTCTCTTGCCTCTCTCTAGATTCTCCTGCCTTCCAAAACACACCTGTCCTTCAAGGCCCAGAGCTTGGACTCTGTCTTGGTGGGAAAGCACGTCAGAGGTGGGGAGCTGGTCCACCCACCCACCAGGCAGGGATCCCTTCCTTCCTGGGCATCTCGTCTGTAGCTCCCGGCCCCGTGTCATCCCTCCGTATCAGCCATCCTTCCCCTCCCTCCGAGCTCTCTCCTCCAGGCCCCCTTGTGCCCCAGCTGGCCTCTCACAGCAGCACCAGACCCCCCTCTTGGTTCCTGGGTGTCAGCCCGGTGTCCACCCGAGACGGTCAGCCACTGGCCTCACTCTTCTTTTGGATCCCAGGGCAGAGTCCTGCGTCAGACAGAGGAGGAG